GAAAAATACTAAATGATCAGCTGTACTTCGCGACATCCCAAACTGTTGAATCACAGAACTGAACTGTCCAAACCATGCTCTAGGTGTCTGCTTGAGACCATATAAAGACCGGCGTAGACGACACACCAATCCTGACTCCCCCTGAGCGACAAACCTTGGCGGTTGCTCCATATACACTTCCCCGACAAGTTTACCATGCAAGAAGACATTTTAATATCCAACTGATGAAGAGGCCATTGATACATGGCAGCTAAATAGATAAGGAGGCGTACCGAAGTAATCTTAGCAACAGGAGAGAAGGTATCACTGTAGTCGAGCCCATAGATCTGAGTGTACCCCTTTGCAACAAGGCGAGCCTTCAACCAATCAACTTTGCCATCAGGACCAATCTTAACAGTGTAAACCCAATGACACCCAACAACAGTCTTGCCTGGCGATAAGGAAACCAACTCCCAAGTACCATTATGATCGAGAGCAGTCATCTCCTTAATCATGGTAGCTCTCCACCCTGGATGTGTCATTGCCTCGCTAACAGTGTTAGGTATAGGGATAGAAGACAGGTTTGAAATAAAGGTAGAATAAAATGGAGATAAACAATCATAAGAAAATTATAAATAGGATGTGGGTTTCGAGAAGATCAAATACCTTTGCGAAGGGCAAGTGGAGGAGTTGCCTCGTCTGTAGGAGACATGACCGGAGCAGGAGACGGAGGAACAAGAGATGGGTCATCAAGATTGACCGAGGTACTTGTATCAAGAAGGGAAGTACCATTGGGATTAGTAGGAGGACGAGGACGACGAGAATAAACTTGGAGTGGAGGACGATCCATAGACGAGGAAGGAGGGATGGGGATAGGTAAGGTGGCAGGGATAAGATTGCTATTGACAGTGTTTTCAGAAAAGTATAGAGATGTCTAAAAGAAAGTTACATCTGCAGAAACAAAATATTTGTTGGTGGTTGGGTCATAGCAACGGTAACCTTTCTGGAGACGAGAATATCCTAAGAAGATACACTTAACGGATTTAGGTTGTAATTTGTCTTTGCTTGGAGTGTGATCATGAACAAAGCAAATGCAACCAAACACTCGTAAATGTATTGGGTATGGGTCTTTACCAGGAAACAGAATGGAGTGAGGACTCTTATGTTGCAAGATAGAAGAAGGCATACGGTTAATCAAGTAATAGGCGTTGAGAACTGCATCCCCCCAAAATCGAAGAGGAACATGATGATGTATAAGGTACAGGCTGTTTCAATAAGATGACAATTTTTGCATTCGGCGACCCCATTCTGCTGAGGAGTATAGGCACATGAGGTCTGGTGAATAATACCTTGAGAGGACATATACTTAGTAAAGGGAGAAGATAGATATTCCCTAGCATTATCACTACGCAAAATCTTAATAGAAACACCAAATTGATTACGAATCTCAGCACAAAAATTCTGAAAGATAGAAAATAACTTAGAACGAGTTTTCATTAAAAATAACCAAGTGTTATGAGAATAGTCATCTATAAAAGTAACAAAATAATAGAAACCCAAAGTTGAACTGACACGACTAGGACCCCAGATGTCTGTGTGAACAATATCAAACATTGAGATGGCCCTATTATTGACTTGCTTAGGAAAGGAAGCTCTAGTTTGTTTCCAAGTTGACATGACTCACAATTAAAAGAAGATAATGTAGACAGACTAGGTACTACTTTTTGAAATTTGGCAAGACTTGGATGACCAAGCCGGCTATGAAGAATGTCGGCAGATGCAGCGAAGGTGAAGGCAACTAGTGGATTTGGATCGGAGAGGTGGTACAGTCCATGTGATTCATGTCCTGTTTCAATCGTCTGACTTGTGTTCTAATCTTGCACCACAACAGAGTCAGCAAAAAAGGTGACAGAACAGTTAAGATATTTGGTTAACTTACTAATAGAAATCAGATTATATGGACATTCAGGGGCGAATAAGATTGAGTTTAAAGAAATGGATGGAAGTGGTCAAGCTTCTCCTATCCCTTTGACCATAGTCTGTGTAATTTTTGATAAAGTGGGAGAAGAGGTAATTTGAAATAAAAGATTTTTATTACCAGAAATGTGGTCAGATGCTCCGAAATCCAAAATCCATGGGCCAGTTGAGGAGGTCCTGCTCAGATAGGCAAAGGAATTACCAATTTGGGAGGCGCCAGATGAGGATGACTGCTGCTTGACAGCTTGATATTGAAGATACTCATTGTAATCAGCCCCAGACAATGTAATGGAGTTGGGTTGTTGGTCTTTAGCATCGGGTAAGGGAAGGAGTCCATCTCCAGTTGCTTGAGCCACATGAGCGATGGATCGATTAGAAGATTGACGTGGTGGCCTCCCATGCAAAGCCCAACAAGTGTCTCGGTTGTGGCCATTCTTGTCACAATAGGTGCAATGTGGTCTAGATCCCTTCCTTTTCCCTTTCGAGAACCACTCTGTCCTTGCTGATTTCCTGCCTGAATAGCTAATACAGATTTCTCAACCTCATTAGTATCGCCTAGGTTTAAAGAAAGACGCAGTAATCAAGCAGATACATCTTCCAAAGATGGTTAGGTAGGGCTTGCTAAAATTTGATCTCGAACAGAACCAAGGTCAGATCGTAGTCCGATTAAGGCTAGGACCATAAAGAATTTGTCACGTTGTCTCTCTTGTTCAATGGTACTATCAGATACTGGCATAAGGGAATCAAATTGATCTTTTAAAGTCTCTATCTACCCTAAATAGCTCTCCATATCTTGATTATTTTGTTGAAGGTGGACAATATTATTTAAAGCGTATCAATATAATCTGGTGACCGATGGATCTATTTGCAATCTTCTCAATGAGTGGTAGTGTGTTTTAGGTGCTAAACTGGATCTATTTGTCTTAATATTCTTGGCCTAAATTGAGGGTCTACAGCTGTAAAGAACATAGTAATTTACCTGTTGTTTTGGAGGCGTTTCTTGTTGAGAATGGTTATAATGATAATGTTTCATGTATAAAACAGATTTGCATTGTTTTTTTGGTGGTTTTATTTTAGCTTTCATTAGATCTAATGACACAATTATTGATTCTTTCTTTTTTTTTTTTTTTTTTTTTTTTTTTTTTTTTTTTTTTTTTGAATGAGTATGTTAAAGGAATTTTAACAATTTAGCAAATGCATAAATTTGTTGCAGATTGGACGTAATAGCATCTAATGGTGGTGTTGTACAGCTGAAGAACTTGCTCCATATCTTGATGTACAAAGTGCAGGGGCACCATGGTGATCTTGTTATATCAAACGTAGCTTTCACTAGACAGCATTTTATTGTTATAGCTTGTTACAGTTAGCCAATTTTTTATATTGCTCTTGAATTTGGAATAGTTAAAAGTTTGTATATTTTAATATGATTTTCAGGAGAAGAGTAGATGTTTATTTAATCAATAAGATAGACTAAGTCTATTGATTAACCCTTGAAAGAATAGTGTTTGTGAAATATGTTGCTTGATTATTTCCCCAAGCAGATGGGAATTTATACAATGTACAAGTTACATGAATTAGGAAAGAATTGATCCTAAATAATGAAGGATATACACACAATATAGTCACCATATTTACACAAATCAATCTAGGAATACTATCTCTATTTTCCTAATATATCTTAAAGTCAATCTAGGAAATAATATCTCTATTTTCCTAATATATCTTAACACCTCCTCAGTATAGCATATATGTCATATGTTCAAGCTTGTTACAAATGTATCCGATTCGGAACCTTGAGAGACTTAGTAAGAATCTGCTACTGGTCATTTGAGTGACAAAACTGTGACAAGCATTGGGATTAATTTCTGTCGGATAAAATGACGATCAACCTCAATGCTTTGTTCTTTTGTGAAAGACTGGATTTGAGGCAATATGAGAGCAGCTGATTGTCGCATATTAGTTTCATTGCTTCACTTCACTACACCCCAATTCTTGAAGAAGTTGTTTCAACCAGATGAGCTCACAAGTTGCGAGAGCCATACCCCGTTCTGCCTTACTTGATCTAGCTACTACATCTTGCTTCTTACTCTTCCAAGATATTAGATTACCTCAATCATGATACAAATCCAAAAGTAGATCATCTATCTGATGGAGACCCTGCCAACAACATCAATACCCAACAATTTGAGAATGACCCCTATTTTCATATAGCAGCCTTGTCCTGGGCTCTCTTAATATACTTGAGAATGCGAACTGTTGCGCCCAATACCACTACATGGGGCTGGAGAAATTGGCTAACCACACTAACTGCAAAGGAGATATTGGTATGGTGATCGTGAGATAATTCAGCTTACCAACCAATTTTCGATACCTTCCAGGGTTTCTAATGGCTCCCCTATCCAAGAACAAGTTTGACATGGGATCCATAGGAGATCTACAGGCTTACAGTCTAACATACTTGTCTCCTCAAGAAGGCCAAGGCATACTTCCTTTGTGGATATGCAATACTAGCCTTAGACTGTACTACCTCAATCCCTAGAAATACTTTAGCTTCCCCAAGTCCTTGGTTTGAAATGGCTAAACAGATGCTGCTTCAGTTGAGAAATCCCATCTTAGTTACCTGTTATGACAATGTCATCAACATAGACAGCCAAGTACATAAATTTACCATGATCATTACTGCGGAAAAATACTAAATGATCAGCTGTACTTCGCGACATCCCAAACTGTTGAATCACAGAACTGAACTGTCCAAACCATGCTCTAGTGGCTGCTTGAGACCATATAAAGACCGGCGTAGACGACACACCAATCCTGACTCCCCCTGAGCGACAAACCTTGGCGGTTGCTCCATATACACTTCCCCGCAAGTTTACCATGCAAGAAGACATTTTAATATCCAACTGATGAAGAGCCATTGATACATGGCAGCTAAAAGATAAGGAGGCGTACCGAGTGTCTGTGTCATACGATGTCGTTTTGGTGGTACGAAAGGCCTAAGGGCACAACGATAATTCCTGCAACATCATCCTCTCTTTCGCTTGGCCAGGCTTAAGCTTTAGAATCTCTGGCAGAGTGGCACCAAAAACATTTTCATCTTCCAAATTTCCCAAAAATAAAAAATGAAAATGGCGTCAATCTCAACATGTTTCTCTCTAACTCCAAAATCTCGCCTTATCCTCTTTACTTCAAAATCTTCCCTTAATTTAAAGCCTCCCGATTCTTTTTCCAGAACTCAAACACTCGTTTTCCCCAGAATTTCTTGGAAAAATCCAAACCGTAGGGTTTTTGTTCCTGTTGTTCGAGCAAGCATCGATGTAAACGCTGGAGTGAGACCTGGAAGTGTTGTGGAGAGTGATAAGCTGCCGTCTGATGTTAGAAAGCGGGCCATGGACGCCGTAGATGCTTGTGGAAGAAGAGTCACCATTGGTGACGTGGCCAGTAAAGCTGGGCTTACTTTGACTCAAGCTCAAAAGGCTCTCCAAGCTCTTGCCGCTGATGCTGATGGTTTCCTGGAGGTAATTTCAAGTCATAGTGCGAATTTATTTTGTAATTGTTTCTAGTTTAGAAAAATGTAACTTCAATTTTGAGAATATGGGTGGTGAAATTTCAGTGTAAATTTGCTTAGTAATGAAAAACAATGTACAAGTGTCTTGATTAAAATCAGTAGTTAAAAGTATAATAAATTGGGTATGTTTGATAAATTTTATGAAATTTAGGGGAAGTCTTTGAAAACTTTAGATGAGATTTATGGTCATTCTCACAATGACAGCAAAGGGTTTTACTAAATAATTTTGTTACTTGATAACTGATTTTCATGTATTAGCATTTAGCAATTCTTTTGCTTTTATAGATTTTGAAATGGAACTTGTTTAGTTATTATTTATTTTTATTCTTGATTCATGAGTGCAATTGTTTTCAAGATGGTTTTAACAGGTCTCGGATGAAGGTGATGTCTTGTATGTTTTTCCAAAGGATTATCGTGCAAAACTTGCTGCCAAGTCATTTAGGATAAAAGTAGAACCTTTGGTTGAAAAGACAAAGGTATTAATTTCATAACATAATGTGCTGAGATTCTGTTTCAAAGAGAAGAAATGAATGTCATATAATTTATATTAGTGTCATAATCTAATGAATTCTGTAATTTTCAGGCCGGGGCTGAGTATTTAATAAGGGTTTCTTTTGGGACAGCTCTTATAGCTTCAATTGTTATTGTTTATACTACAATAATTGCTCTTCTTTCAAGTCGGAGGTATCTTTTGAATTTGGCTCTTTAAATGTTATTTTACATTGACCATGTGCTCTTATTAATTGAATGAGTGATTGTTTTTCATTTTATTTTTTTATGTTCTGTCACAGCAAGATATTGACGGTGAAATTCTTGATTACAGTGATGAAGACAATCGTGGAAGGCGAAGCAGATCATACGATACGGGATTCACATTTTACGTCAATCCATTCGACATGTTTTGGTAAACTTTCTGGTCGTTCAGAATTCTGAGCATTGTTTTCAAACCATGAAAAGCTGATGATTTACATGTTTGACTGTTTTAATCAATGATAATATAAACACATTATCTTGGATAGTTCTGGCTGCCATTATCGTTGGCTTTAGTTTTATGTGTGATAAGGGCCACAACAGTTATTGCTAGTCTAATTAATTTTATACTCTAAAAGTGGGGGTTTTTTTTTTTTTTTTTTTAATACTTCAGCCCTCTGTGCTTACTGCTCCCTCATTGGCCATGATCTTCTCTAAAGAGTCCCTTATTTTCATGTGGTCACAAACATTTTGTAACTTTTTGCGGTTTTGCCTTCTAATTTCATGTAAGGTACTGGGATCCATATTACTACAGAAGACGACGAGTACGTGCCGATGATGATGACAACAAAATGAACTTTGTTGAATCTGTATGTATAAAATTGAATCATGCCTGATGTTTTTTCTGGTTGCTTCCTATTTTTGAAAGAAAATTTGACTTAATAAATGGCTTTCTTTCAGATTTTCTCATTTGTGTTTGGAGATGGTGATCCAAATCAAGGAATTGAAGAAGAAAGGTGGAAGTTGGTAATATTTCGGCATTGAATTCAGTGGTCCGTTGCTTGCAACATATATATAATAATTCATTGGTTGTGCTATTTTTACCTTTGTTTGCTGTTAGCTTGCCCCTTGTCAAAGTAACACTGTTTAATCTGGCCTTTTGAAAACTCTCCCTTCTCTCTCTTACAAGCTATTTGTAGAAACCCTTTATATTTTGCAATTGATTATTTTTCATTTCACACACAGTGAATCGTATTGGAAACAAGCAAATTTTCTGATATGTTGCAACATATTAATATGGATACTTGTGTCTCAAGTGCTTTTGAATAACATTGTAATATTTCATAAAGATATCTATTCTGCACCTTCATGATTTAGTTAAAATATAACAGTGATCTACTTCAGTTGTTATTTAAAGCGATCAAATATAATCTGGTGACCGATGAATCTTTCACCTCTTCTCAATGAGTAGTAGTTGTTTTTAGGTGCTAAACTGGATCTATTTGTTACTTAATATTCTTGGCCTAAATTGAGGTCTACAGCTGTAAAGAACAATAGTAATTTACCTGTTGTCTTTGGAAGGCGTTTCTTGTTTGAGAATGGTTGTAATGATAATGTTTCATTGATAAAACAGAATTTGCATTGTTTTTTTGGTTGTTTTATTTTAGCTTTCATTAGATCTAATGACACAATTTATTGATTCTTTTTTTTTTTTTTTTTTTGAATGAGTTAATGTGTAAAGGAATTTTAACAATTTAGCAAATTGCATAAATTTGTGTGCAGATTGGACAGTATATAGCATCTAATGGTGGTGTTGTTACAGCTGAAGAACTTGCTCCATATCTTGATGTACAAAGTGCAGGGGGCACCATGGTATGATCTTGTTATATCAAACGTAGCTTTCCAATAGACAGCATTTTATTGTTATAGCTTGTTACAGTTAGCCAATTTTTTATATTGCTCTTGAATTTGGAATAGTTAAAAGTTTGTATATTCTTTAATATGATTTTCAGAGAGAAGTAGATGTTTATTTTAACGCAATAAGATAGACTAAGTCTATTGATTAACCCTTGAAACAACAGTGTTTGTGAAATATGTTGCTTGATTATTTCCCCAAGCAAGATGGGAATTTATACAATGTACAAGTTACATGAATTAGGAAAGAATTGATCCTAAATAATCAAGGATATACACACAATATTAGTCTACCATATTTACACAAATCATTCTAGGAATACTATCTCTATTTTCCTAATATATCTTAATAGTCAATCTAGGAAATAATATCTCTATTTTCCTAATATATCTTAACACTCCCCCTCAAGTTGGAGCATATATGTCATATGTTCAAAGCTTGTTACAAATGTATCCGATTTAGGAACCTCTGAGAGACTTAGTAAGAACATCTGCTAGCTGGTCATTTGAGTTGACAAAACTGGTGACAATGCATTGGGATTCAATCTTCTGTCGGATAAAATGACGATCAACCTCTATATGCTTTGTTTTTTTGTGAAAGACTGGATTTGAGGCAATATGCAGAGCAGCCTGATTGTCGCATATTAGTTTCATCACTTCACTACACCCCAATTCTTGAAGAAGTTGTTTCAACCAGATGAGCTCACAAGTTGCGAGAGCCATAGGCCAATTTTCTGCCTCTGCACTTGATCTAGCTACTACATCTTGCTTCTTACTCTTCCAAGATATTAGATTACCTCCAATCATGATATAGTATCCAGAAGTAGATCGTCTATCTAATGAAGACCCTACCCAATCAGCATCAGAATACCCAACAATTTGAGAATGACCCCTATTTTCATATAGCAAGCCTTGTCCTGGAGCTTCTTTAATATACTTGAGAATGTGAACTGCTGCATCCCAATGACCACTACATGGGGCCTGGAGAAATTGGCTAACCACACTAACTGCAAAGAAGATATTTGGTATGGTGATCGTGAGATAATTCAGCTTAACAACCAATTTTTGATACCTTCCAAGGTCTTCTAATGGGTCCCCCTATCCAAGAACAAGTTTGACATTGGTATCCATAAGAGAATCTACAGGCTTACAGTCTAACATACCTGTCTCCTCAAGAATGTCCAAGGCATACTTCCTTTGTGATATAGCAATACCAGCCTTAGACTGTACTACCTCAATCCCTAGAAAATACTTTAGCTTCCCCAAGTCCTTGGTTTGAAAATGGCTAAACAGATGCTGCTTCAGTTGAGAAATCCCATCTTGGTCATTACCTGTTATGACAATGTCATCAACATAGACAACCAAGTATATAAATTTACCATGATCATTACGGCGGAAAAATACTGAATGATCAGCTGTACTTCGCGACATCCCAAACTGTTGAATCACAGAACTGAACTGTCCAAACCATGCTCTAGGTGACTGCTTGAGACCATATAAAGACTGGCGTAGACGACACACTAATCCTAACTCCCCCTGAGCGATAAACCCTGGCGGTTGCTCCATATACACTTCCTCGGCAAGTTTACCATGCAAGAAGACATTTTTTATATCCAACTGATGAAGAGGCCATTGATACATGGCCGCTAAAGAGATAAGGAGGCGTATCGAAGTAATCTTAGCAACAGGAGAGAAGGTATCACTATAGTCGAGTCCATAGATCTGAGTGTACCTCTTTGCAACAAGGCCAGCCTTCAACTGATCAACTTTGCCATTAGGACCAATCTTAACAGTGTAAACCCAATGACACCCAACAACAGTCTTGCCTGGCGGTAAGGAAACCAACTCCTAAGTACCATTATGATCGAGAGCAGTCATCTCCTCAATCATGGCAGCTCTCCACCCTGGATGTGCCATTGCCTCGCTAACAGTGTTAGGTATAGGGATAGAAGACAGGTTTGAAATAAAGGCAGAATAAAATGGAGATAAATGATCATAACTAAGAAAATTATAAATAGGATGTGGGTTTCGAGAAGATCGAATAGCTTTGCGAAGGGCAAGTGGAGGAGTTGCCTCGTCTATAGGAGACATGACCGGAGCAGGCGACGGAGGAACAAGAGATGGGTCATCAGGATTGACTGAGGTACTTGTAACAAGAAGGGAAGTACCGTTGGGATTAGTAGGAGGACGAGGACGACGAGAATAAACTTGGAGAGGAGGACGATCCATCGAAGAGGAAGGAGGGATGGGGATAGGTAAGGTGGCAGGGATAAGATTGCTATTGATAGTGTTTTTAGAAAAGTATAGAGATGTCTCAAAGAAAGTTACATCTGCAGAAACAAAATATTTGTTGGTGGTTGGGTCATAGCAACGGTAACCTTTCTGGAGATGAGAATATCCTAAGAAGATACACTTAACGGATTTAGGCTGTAATTTGTCTTTGCCTAGAGTGTGATCATGAACAAAGCAAATGCAACCAAACACCTGTAAATGTATTGGCTATGGGTCTTTACCAGGAAACAGAATGGAGTGAGGACTCTTATGTTGCAAGACAGAAGAAGGCATACGGTTAATAAAGTAACAGGCGGTGAGAACTGCATCCCCCCAAAATCGAAGAGGAACATGATGATGTATAAGTAAGGTACGGGCTGTTTCAATAAGATGACAATTTTTGCGTTCGGCGACCCTATTCTACTGACTAGTATAGGCATATGAGGTGTGGTGAATAATACCTTGAGAAGACATATACTTAGTAAAGGGAGAAGATAGATATTCCCTATCATTATCACTACGCAAAATCTTAATAGAAACACCAAATTGATTACGAATCTCAGCACAAAAATTCTGAAAGATAGAAAATAACTCCGAACGAGTTTTCATTAAAAATAACCAAGTATTACGAGAATAGTCATCTATAAAAGTAACAAAATAATAGAAACCCAAAGTTGAACTGACACGACTAGGACCCCAGATGTCTGTGTGAACAATATCAAAAATTGAGATGACCCTATTATTGACTCGCTTGGGAAAGGAAGCTCTAGTTTGTTTTCCAAGTTGACATGACTCACAATTAAAAAAAGATAATGTAGACAGACTAGGTACTAATTTCTGAAATTTGGCAAGACTTGGATGACCAAGGCGGCTATGAAGAATGTCGGTAGATGCAACGAAGGTGAAGGCAACTGGAGAATTTGGATTGGAGAGGTGGTACAGTCCATGTGATTCATGTCCTGTTCCAATCGTCTGACCTGTGTTCCGATCTTGTACCACAACAGAGTCAGCAAAAAGGGTGACAAAACAGTTAAGATATTTGGTTAACTTACTAATAGAAATTAGATTATGTGGACATTCAGGGGCGAATAAGATTGAGTTTAAAGAAATGGATGGAAGTGGTTGAGCTTCTCCTGTCCCTTTGACCACAGTCTGTGAACCATTAGCAAGAGTAATTTTTGATAAAGTGGGAGAAGAGGTAATTTGAGATAAAAGATTTTTATTACCAGAAATGTGGTTAGATGCTCCGGAATCCAAAATCCATGGGCCAATGGAGGAGGTCCTGCTCAGATAGGCAAAGGAATTACCAATTTGGGAGGTGCCAGATGAGGATGATTGCTGCTTGACAGCTTGATATTGAAGATACTCATTGTTATCAGCCCCAGACAATGTAATGGAGTTGGGTTGTTGGTCTTTAGCATCGGGTAAGGGAAGGAGTCCATCTCCAATTGCTTGAGCCACATGAGCGGTGGATCGATTAGAAGATTGACGTGGTGGCCTCCCATGCAAAGCCCAACAAGTGTCTCGGTTGTGGCCATTCTTGTCACAATAGGTGCAATGTGGTCTAGATCCCTTTCCTTTTCCCTTTCGAGAACCACTTTGTCCTTGCTGATTTCTTGCCTGAACAGCTAATACAGATGTCTCAACCTCATTAGTATCGCCTAGGTTTAAAGAAAGACGCAGTAATCGAGCAGATACATCTTCCAAAGATGGTATGGTAGTGCTAGCTAAAATTTGATCTCGAACAGAACCAAGGTCGGATCGTAGTCCGATTAAGGCTAGGACCATAAAGAATTTGTCACGTTGTCTCTCTTGTTCAATGGTACTATCAGATACTGGCATTAGGGAATCAAATTGATCTTTTAAAGTCTCTATCTGCCCTAAATAGCTCTCCATATCTTGATTATTTTGTTAAAGGTGGACAATATCAGAAACAACTCTATATATTCTTTGCACATCATTCGTATACAAAGTTTTGGCTTTGGTCTAGACCTTACAGCAAGTTTACAACATTGAAACAAATTAAGCAATTTAGGGTCTAAAGAATGCCAAAGGAGACTACATAACTGAGCATCAACTTTAACCCAACTAGCCCTCTCAGTAGTAGAAATATCAGTGGATGTTTTACTTAAGTGATCATCATAACCCTGCCCCATAAACCATAACTCTACTGAAGCAGCCCATGACGCATAATTACTACTATCCTGAAGCTTGACTGTAGTAATTGTTGGAGAACTAGAAATAGAAGAGAAGAATGGTTTGATGTCACCTGATTTTGATGCTTCTGCTATTGTAATCAAGAGAAGTGAGAGATAAATCCAAAACGGTAGAAACACCCTTTGGCAGAGTTGAATCACCAACAAGAAGGAAGAATTGGAGGAAACCAATCGCCTGAGAAGAACCAGAAGATGCCGACGAACCAGGAGAATCGAGAAATAAGCTCCCCAAAAGCAAAGAGGAGTGCCTCCTTTAAAGATATGTTTTAGGGTTTCTGAAATAGATGGATTTAGAAGAAGAAGAAGGCCAAGAACCAACCTGACTCTAATACCATGAAACAACAGTGTTTGTGAAATATGTTGCTTGATTATTTCCCCAAGCAAGATGGGAATTTGTACAATGTACAAGTTACATGAATTAGGAAAGAATTGATCCTAAATAATCAAGGGTATACACACAATATTAGTCTACCATATTTACACAAATCAATCTAGGAAATACTCTCTCTATTTTCCTAATATATCTTAACAGTCAATCTAGGAAATAATATCTCTATTTTCCTAATATATCGTAACGACCCTCAAAATTGAATCTTGTTCTTTTTATTTCGTAATGTTAGTTTCATAGCATGTTCTCTCTCAGTTTTCGTTGTAAATATTTTCTTTGTTGTATAAATCACCTATCCTTAGAATGGTTACTTTTTAATGGATTTTGATATAATTTTATTTCATTTAATTGACATTTGAAATTTGATACATAATTCAACAACTGGTCCATTTGGAATGCTTCTGGTTGGTTGTGTTTGAAAGCTCTGATTTTTTTTAGGGTTTTGCCTTTCTCAGTATAAAAGTATTTTCCATCTTTTCAATTTTTGTTTTCTTCTGGAGTCTAGTCTTCAATTTCTTAGATTTTATCCAGAATGATATTTGCTTCTGTTGCCCACAGTTATATATTACAAATTGTGTCTGTCAATTAGTCAAATTTAAATTTAGCGTTGAAATTTGTTTGCTCATTCAGTTCTTACACTGCATCATACTGTTTTCTTTTATATTATTCTTGTGTTAATTTGACCTTGTTTGTTGTTGGTTGCAGAGCGATGAATCATACATCTTACCTGTCCTTCTACGATTTGATGGTCAGCCTGAAATAGATGAAGAGGTGTGTCAGAGTATACAGTTATAGAGAGAACTATCTTTTTTTCCCTTTAGATATGTATGATAGCAAGAAAAGGTCTGAAGATGGTGCAGAATCCTCACCTGTGTGGAAGTTTCTTTCTGTCATAAAAAAGATTTTGCCTATGTTGATTTTGTGTGATTTTCTTGTTGTATAGGGAAATATTTTGTATCGCTTTCCATCCTTACAGCGCACAGCTTCTTCTCAAAGAAGTGGAAGAAAGGAGTATGTGGGGAGAAGATGGACTGATTGGGTTGGAGGGGTTCAGAAGGTTTTCAGGGAGAAAAAATGGGAATTCAGGTTCTTTGCTTATTTCTTTTGGCAATTTATTAGGTAAGATTGTTTCTAATTGAGTTAATGACATGGTTAATTTTTCACATTGCAGTAAAACTAATGCGTCAGAGAGAGCAATGGTTATTGGTCTGGGTGGGTTGAATTTGTTTGGAATTATTGTTCTCGGAGCCATGTTAAAGTATGTTTCTCCTGACACCAATTACTTTTCTTGGTACTTTTCTTAATCCTCTTGCTGTAATGACCCATCTTTTATCTTTTTATGAAGGGATATTGCTGTTACTCCTAGTGGGTTTATTCAATTCGTCAGGAGCATTTTTCCTCTTCTTCAGGTGTGATGCAGTGTCTCATTGTAAAAGGAATGAGGTTTTAACTCTTTTCCCTCTTACAGTTGAGGTCATGTTATTACTAAAACAGTTGAGGTTATTGTAGATATATGCTGGTTCTTTCTTTGCTATTCCTCTGGTCCGGTGGTTCCTCAACCTCAAGAAGAATGCTGAGATAGAAAAGAGAAACCTTGCAAGGGAACGGTATGCTAAAGCCCTTGAACTGCCAGATGTTTCTCTGAAGCGCAAGGTAGGCACATTAATTTCTGTTCATTGTCTTAAATTTGTTGTATGCTTGAGTGTGAATATTGTGTCAAATTTTGTTTTTGTACTTCAATGACAGTCTATTACTGTATTCTTTAACTTACGTTAAGTGTAAAACTGGATTTGCTATATGTTAGAAAAATCATTTGCCATAGGCCCCTCTACTTATCATTAACTTGTTTTCCCTTAATGCAATCTGTTCAGCTCCTTAGTGCTCGGGATATGGCCCAGAAAACAGTTATCGGACAGGATCGCATTGTTTATAGTACTGAGAGGGACTTTGTTGAGCAAGACTATGAGGCAAAAGAATGGGAGAGGAGATTCCGAGAAATTGAACAGGCAGATTGAGAAGTGACTATAGTTGGTAAATTTACAGTTATTTTCTCCGATCAATGCGGAGAAACATTGAGAGAGATTTATCGAAAAATTCTGTTGATAATTGTTGAAAATCTGTTATATAAGTAGTTTTGATTTTCATGATTTTATTTCCAAGTATTTCTTGCATCGGAGTTTTGTAAGGGGTGTCCTCACTGCCTAGACTAGTTAGTTTACTAGTTGTCGCCTGTTGTATACTTCATTCACAGGAATGTGTTTGGAAAACCGTAAAATAAATGAGTTAATGGGTGGATAACAGTCTTGTTAAGATAGATGCTTCTGCACTTTCAATTAACTCATGTTTGTGTTGTGTTTTTAATTTCAGGGACTTCACTTGACTAAATCCTTATCTGAGAAAACCAGACCATTATTGCTTTCAGCATCAGGCTCATAACTTGAGACAACTTGACGGGTCACCTTAGCTACAATCGGTCAACCTTCAATAATACGAGTGAATATTTACAGAATACAACAGCAGGGAAGCAATGGTGATTTGTAATGTAAATTTGATTGAAAGTAATCTCAATTTTTTTTTATCGCTTGAAATAGTTTCAAGTGCCGTATAGCTCATATATATTACTAGGTAATGTCCCAATATCTCCGAGCAGTAAATCTATTGAGGGTAGATTGTTTCTGTAATCGCCTTTTCATCTGTGTAACGGGATGGATCCTGATCTTGTGCACAGATTAGAGCTAGGTGTAGATGTGAAAATTAGAGTTGCACATGGACACGTATGAGCTTATAATGTGGTTTACAAATTCTACCACTTATCGGTGAAACATGTAATAATGATACACGCCCTCCATTTATATCTTCCATATTGTTTTAAGAGTGGTTGTAAACCAAAACTATTTTGTTGTAAATGAGATTAGTTATTTGTATGCTTGGAAATAGTTTGTATTCCATCTTTAGGGCTTTTGTCTCAATTCTTTACAAAAATTTTCTTATTGTTCATGAAATAACAGTTTCTGCCATTCAAAATAGAACTTCAATTTTCAAGACTTAAACCATCCCCTTCCACATACACCAAATTGGTGTGGTTTTTGGTATATGTAACAATTGCATCTTCAATCTATTATATCAAAAAGAATATTTTTTAAAATATTTTTTTTCTTTTTCTTTCTATTAATAATCAACCATTACTTTATTTTATTAATTATTTTTGTATATATTAATTAAATATTAGAAATGATATCTTTATTAAATAATAATAACTTTAAGCAATTAAGAATTATGTAAAGAAGAACTCAATAATAAGTCAATAATCTCAAAATAGTTCTAATTCTTTTTAATATTTTGATGATTTTAAAAAATCCAAAACTAATCTATCCGAAATTGTTATTTCTTTTAATTTTAATGTTTTTAAATTTGTGTTAACTTATTTTGAGTTATTGTAATTTAATATTTGTATTGAATGAAGTTTTGTTTTTTATTTTTCATAATTTTTTTAATTATATAATTATTATGAATTTATTATTATAAATATTAATTAAATTAACATAAATACAAATTAAATAAAATAAAAAAATAAAAAATGTTTTATGATAGATGAATAGTATCACATCAAATTGGTGTGAATGAATAGTATTATACCAAATTTGGTGTGATACTATTAATGCTTTTAGTGTATGATCAAAGCAAAATGGTGCCTCATTGGAGATGCCCTTAGAGAAGAAATGGAAAATAGCAATTTTGGAATAAAATTAACATCTTTTTTTTTAAAAAAAAAAATCTTTGTCTCCTTAAAGTTCCCGACTGAATCATATTAAATGTAATAAAAAAAATAAAATAAAGATTTATAATTTTATTTGTCAAGATAAGTAATTTGAAAAAAAAAAAAAATCATATAGAAAAGGAAATGTAGACTTTGTTGTAATTTTAAATATTTGAATCTTTAATGCATATTTGAATTTGATTCCGTCAATTTCATGTACCATTATCCAACGGCTGAAATCTACCCACACTTCATGTTGCCGATCTCTCACGCAATGACAATGACACCAAGTAGCGTGATTCCTATGACGGTCACGCAACAATTATGTGGTGGTTGCACCGGTGGGGTCAAAATTAGTAAATTAATTTTGTTAATATTTTAATTTAACTCAATAAATTATAAAATAATTAAATTTTAAATAAATTGCTTTAAGAGTAACAATTGGAAGAAAAAAAAAAAACCGAGGGCAGGAAGAAATTTCATGCAATCCATACCCCTAGAATGCCAATTGCTCTCAAATTTGGAGGAATGATTATAATTATATTCCCCCATTTTTAGGGGAATGTTCATTCCTATGGAATATGATTCTCCCCAACATGAATTAAAGTAAACAGGAATGGGCATTCCCGTTTAGCGGCAAAATAACATGCCATAAGAGAATAATTGTGCATAACATAGAATGAAAAGTCTTGGCTCCCATAAGTGTTATATACAATTAAAGCCCAAATACTAAAGATGTAAAAATGATTTCCCGAAATAACTGCTTCAACCGTTTACTTTTATCTATAAAAAAAAAAAAAAAAAAAAGACAAATCTTAATCTTTCAACTTACATGCATGAACAGCCTGGCACATTTATCATTCCATCCAAATGGTAACCCAATTACTCAACTACTGTAATGCTTGAAGATAATGTCATAACTTATTTATTAGCCATGAATAAAGTGGTAATATAGCAAACACAAAAAAGAACGGATACACCATTCAGGCATGGCTTTTTCTTTCTTTCTTTCTTTTGGCTAAAAAAATGAATTAACATTCATGTAAATGTTCCTTCCAAACGCATGAAATGATAGCTCTTCTAGCAGAACCCAGAATTTCTTTATTACTATGCAACACGACATTAGTGACAATCTGCTAAATGCTCAAGAACTAGCAGAAACAATTAGGGATAGGCCCGCTGAAAGAAGGTTTTTAATAAATCTGTTAAAGGCTCGCAAATAAACAACTATAGTTAGATGATCAGTAATGCATATTTTCACACCTGAGCAATTATCTGAGGTTCAATGTAGAGAATCATCAATGTTCCTCCCTTCTGAAGCTTCACAACGATTTATAAGTGCAGCAATGGCAAAATGCAACTATTGACATACGTGTTTACACAACCCGGGAAACCAGTATACCTGCAAGAAGAAATAGAAATATTACTTTATTTTTCCATCTGATTCCTGACAAAGGATAATCAAATACATAAATAGAAAAACAAATTGATGCTCTATCATACTAAGAATTCAGCATTATGCTGAATAACTCACTCAGATTCTCCAAAGAATGTCTATTTTTAATCCATTCTACTTGCAACTATAACTTCCTTTCTCTTACTTGCACAAAGAAAGGTTTTTCGGGGGTTGGAGTCAACATGATACTTTGTTTTGGGTAAGTCTCCTCCTTTTGAAGATGAATATGAAGTGAAATTATCATTTATGCGAGTCTTATGTATAATCCATTTGGATTATAATTCTTCTTTTTACATGGTTTTCAATCAATACTTGCAAACGAACTGATTTTAGAGACTTCATTACAGATCTCACCCAATCAAATAAAGATGACTGCTATGGATCATCTAACTAATATGGAGATTTTAGTAGTTTTACAGAATAAAAAAAATGTGAAGAGAAAAACATGAAACCTGTTATGACCAAGCATGACTACATGATAATATCATACCCTGGAGAGCACAATAGGCCTGCCTATTTAAAATTAAGCACCACGCAACACAAAGCACGAATGCATCATTTGGTGACATGGCAAGCACATTTGAATCGTCTAGTCTAAGATCATGACTTTCCTATTGTAATTTTAATTTAAAATAAAACATTCTTTGGCAAATTGAATGCAAATTGGCAAAGAAAGTTTTCAAAAGTATGCTGATGGATGTTACATTAAATTACTTCTCATTGAGATAATACCATAGTTGGCCATGATGCTGCATGCACTTATGTAAGTATCCCTTTCTAAGGAATAATTGTACCTTTACAGCAAGGTACATATATCTTGCTAAATTGTATGTTTTAGATTTAGATTTCAATTATTTATGAGGAGGAATTGATTCCACAATGACACTATAGACTGTTCTCTACTGCATGATTCATTGTTAAGGCCCAAAACCAGATGATTTTCAACCATCAATCAGATCTTCAAGATTGAACTAAAATTATCCACCTTGAGCAAACATACTAGCAAGTAAAAACCTTAAAAATTCTTATGCAAAGCGGAAAGTCTTCTGATTTATTTTGCCACTGGCATCGTTAATTTCTAAATAGAACATTTCATGCACAAATTTCAGATGATAAAATCAGTTTAGTGCTGAGAAATCAGATTTGTGCTGAGAATCTAGTATTACAACTGTTCTGCATTTCAAAACAGCATAAGCATTTTCACGATGTGGACAACTAATAATCATTATACAGACTACCCAAAAAAAAAAAAAAAAAATTATCATTATATGTTTATGTGTAAAAAAAACCTATTTCTATAGATGTGCTTACCCAAAATTGTGAGTATAACCAGCACTGCCAGTATCCATTGTAAGAACTTCGATTAGGATGAACGTGATTGGGAAATCTTTCATATATTGCTTCACATGCCCCAAGCCTGGCACAGAGGTGCATAGGGTTTGCCAAGAACCCAGAGCATACTGGAAGCAGCTGTCCTGGAAGCTAAACTTATTCCCCTACGCCATCCCTATTAAAGAGAAAACAACATTAAGCATCTAAAAGCCGATAAACCAATTATAAAAACAATTAGAAGTTTTTGTCTCCTGGTAACACCGTTAGGCAGAATTAAAATATGATTATCTAGCAAATTATAGCTAATGAATGCAGATTGAAATAGATTATCTAGCATATTATACCTAACACATAACAGCTCTTCTATTACATGCCCACATGTGGCTATAGTTATTTGCATGCCAGTGTTGAATGACTCTTACTCAATAGAGAGATTTTGGAGACACACCTATGATACTTAAATTATTCAGGAGGTAAAGACTATAGACAGATTGAAATTCAGAAGAAAGGTTTTTTTTTTTTTTTTTTTTTTGATAAGAAAAAAAAATAGATACCGCAAGGCCCTAAGTACATTTGATGTATACATAATTTTGCCAATGTGTATTACCTTTTCTTCAACCTTGCACTAATTATACACTTCCTATTTAATTTAGTTTTTGTTGGATTCAAGCATTAGCATGGATCCACAAAGATTACCTGACCTAGGAACATCAATGCATGTGGGGAATTCCTTTCTTCTTCTCCATCTTTCAACCGCTTTGTGTAATTCCTACTTAATCTACTCTCATATGCAGTCCATAGATAATTCAATGTACCAAGATTCTGCTGCTGCGTCCTCTCATCTTATTCTCAAGAAGAAGCTTTTAGGTTCGATCTCAAAGCTTCCAGATCCCAATTCTCATCTTCATTATGTCTGCTACATGAGTTTGCTTGAAGAGAATCTAGTGCATCTAAACCAGATCTTGCAGAATATGGGAACCTACATTTCTCAAGTTATCTCCTTTACTGAACCATAATAAGGACCACATGGACCCATTCATCTTCAATTTCTCAGTTTCTTTGCTTTCATGCTCATTGATCCCAGCATCTTTTGAACTGGATGCTGTGTTCGGATCAAGAAATCTTTTCAAAATACTACTATCTTCATGATCAAATGACTGAAATGGTC